AAGAAGCCGCATTGACAGGAAAGAAACGGGCACAGTTCACCCTCAAGTGAAGTTTGCAAATACTCCACATTCTTGTTTGTATGTGCGGCCACGCGCGGCGCTGAAATTAAAGATTTGGGAGAAGTAGGGTTGAGTTCCCCATCTTGCCGACCCGACGGGAGATGGATTTGTAACCCTGAGCGCCAGGCCAGGCTCTTCATCCCTCAGGTTTGCTTTGGGTAGCATTTCTAAGGCATTTTGTTGCTTGCACGGATGGTAGTTTAGAATCTGATGTGCTTTCCTTCATTTTTGATGCTTATTTTTTCCCCCCTAGTAATCAGGTCATACCCTCCGCTGCGGTACGTGAAGGATAAAGAGCTCAGTGTTCTCCCTCCTGCCATATGGAAGAAGTCTCTCTTCTAATGTCAGACTGCAGTGGAAATGGGGGAAAAAAATGCGAAGTTAGGATTCAGCGTGAGAATTAGCTCCTGCTAAGGGACCTGCAGCACCCGGGTGCACGGACCCCTACTGCAGCTGGTGGGGGGATTCGGGCAGTGGGAGCCGCCCCGTGGGCTGCACCAGCCCCTTGCACCGAGCCCCTCTGGCCCCCAAATAGGTGCCCAGGCTCCTGTGGATGGCGGGGGCAGAGAGCACCTTGCTCAGAGCAGAAAATCTCTCTTGCTTGCCAGCGCTTGGAGTTTATTGCTTATTAAACTGAAGGGGTGCTGGCTTCTTATGTCCTGCAAGCATTTTCTATGAAGACACTTCGTATAGAATAAGGGTGCTCATGTCCTATGCATGGTTTCCGAATTTCCCAGCCTGTGGCGCTGGAATTTGGCCCCGCAGCAGGCAAAACCGGCGTGGAGTTAAAAACCCCAAAGGACTACTTGCTGTAGTATCACGAGTGTCCAAAAGGGAAATATTTTTTCCAGCCTGAGGAAAAAAAAAGACCAGTGAAGGCTTGTAAACAAGATAGACATGCCAGTGAGGATTAGAAATGCGGCTTTATCTGCTGTGATTTATGGTGTGTTCAGGCATGTGGGGAGAAACACCCCCCCAAAACTTAATATTTCCAGAAGCAACCAGCAATTCTGTCGGATGGGGTTTGGGCGTGCGCAGCCCAAGAGAAATGAGAAAGCGCCCGGCAGTCAGGGTCAGACAGTTTTACCATTGCTGAACAAGAACATTAAGAAAAAGCCAAGAGCAAGAGAGAGCCCTGCTTGAAAACCCCTCCGTACGGCACCAAGGCAAGCCGGGCAGGCTGCGACGAGCTGGCTGCAGGGGGTGCCCGCGTCGAGCTGAGAAGGAGTGCAGAAATCAAGGCCAGGATTTATTGGAAACCGAGGCTTGTACTGTTCTCTTGGAAACAGAAAGATTGTGTTATTTTTGCAAACAGAAATCTAGTTTGTGGTTAGCTTCTGGCAGCAGGTGGCTGCTCGGGGCCCTCTCTGAAAATGGGCACAAATAAAAACACATTTTAGCCCGCTACAAAGGCAAAGCAGCGCCCACAGGGTTCTCTCTGCTTGCACAGAAGTTTATCCTGAAGCCTGTCCTCCAAGAGGCAAAGGGGAGAGGTTTTCGTCTGTCTGGGAGGCAGTGTGTCCTGGGCATCTGCCAGAGCGGGATTTCTTGTTCGTTAAGGGAAACTCTCTGCCCCGTCTTCCCAGCAAGGATTTGCACGGTATCCGCTACGCTGTCATCCCCCAGCCCGAAAAAGGTTACTGCCTCCATCAACACATCGCGCAGATTTTTCTCCCTTGTAGCGAGCCATTTTGCTCCGTATCATGCTCTACACAGCTGGTGGCACCTATTCAACCCACGGGGGAAAGGGCTGGATCTCCCCATTATTTTTTTTCCTTTAAAACAGAAACCACAGGATCTATATTGTAGTCTTGTATGCATGAAACGACGAAAGGGGACTAAGGAATCGGTCTCTCCTCCCAGCCTCAGCCCTTGCTTATGCTCACACCTGCAGGCTGTACGTACCATTACATGCTATAGGATTCAGCTGAGATCGGCCTTTTCCCCCCTCTGTGCAGGAGCGAATCCTCTGCCCTGGCAAGGGCTGTCGGAGGGCAGGGTCCGAGCTGCAGCACCCCTTGTTTTTTGCCTGCCGAGGCATCACGCTCTGAATGCTGCTCAGGCCATGCAGCACCTCCACGGTCGTAAAACCCAACAGCGAGGAAAGTTGGTTAAAGCACATTTTTTTTTTTTTTTAAACAGTAAAAATAATATCAATCAGTTCATACTTGAGCATATAGAATGCACTTACCACGCTGTCGCAGCCCCACGTGTCACTTGAAAAAGTTGTCATGCAGACACGCTAGCCCTAAGGAGACTTTCTTAGTGGCTTGGCTTACGCTGGCTAAAATCACAGGTCTGGAGCAGAAGTTTCCACGTGGAAAACACGAATTTCTGGTTGTGGAGGTTGCAGAGCAAAGCCTGGAGATGTCACCTGCTTGCACCCTTGGGCCCAGGCACCGAACAGCAAAGAAAGGGATCCAAAGCAGTAGTAAGTGATGAGGATCCAAAGCAGTAGTAAATGATGAGGATCCAAAGCAGTAGTAAGTGACGATTGGGAAGGCTCGACTGGGTTTGAGTGCCTCGGGCTGGCAACGTGTGCACAGCAAGTGACAGAAAAGTCGAGGCAGCTGGTCGGAAGCATTTATGATGCTCTGGGTATTTTTCCATCTCTGAGCAAGCAGAAACGACACCTCCCGCAGGACAAGTACGAACACCGGTGCCCGATTTACCCACTGAACTTCCTCGTCTTAACCCAGGGATAACAACTACTTGCCAAAATTGGGCCGTGTGTAGGCCAGAAGAAGGCATAGCCTGTCTCTCCACACCAACAGCCGCGTGGTGACGCCTCCTCCTCCTCCTCGGTTGGGATATTCCTGGCTGGTGTGTGCTGCCTCGACACCGGGGTCCCTCACCGAGGACCCGAGGGACTCCTCAGAGTGGGGCCGTCTTTTGGTAGGAGGCAAGCAAGACCATTTTATTGCCATATGGGTACAGCAAGGAGCTCGTCCCGAGTGCTGGTTTCTTCCAGACGCTGGCTTTTACCAGAAATAACCTTCTGAGGCAAATGAAGGGCAAAATGATGGGATTTCTGTCATAGAATCATGGAATGCTTTGGGTTGGAAGGGACCCCCAGAGGTCCCCCAGCCCAACCCCCCTGCAGGAGCAGGGACACCTTGAACCACATCAGGTTGCTCACAGCCCCGTCCAACCTGGCCTGGAATGTTCCCAGGGATGGGGCCTCCACCCCCTCTCTGGGCAACCCCTGCCAGGGTTTCACCACCCTCACTGGAAAAAATTTCTTCCTTAGATCCAGTCTAAACCTGCCCTGCTTCAGTTTAAAGCCATCCCCCCTTGTCCTGTCCCAGCTGGCCCTACTAAAAAGATTGTCCCCAAGCACTGTCGCGATGATGTGATGCTGAAGGGCTGTCAGTTACCATCAGCATCCAGCGAAAGCTTTGCAGATCTGAGCTCCACACCGGGACAACCATTCCATGGAGAAACAGCATTTTTTCGGCAAGGCGGATGGTGCTGTTGGAGCCTGGGGCAGGAGGGACCCTGCTTGCCATCAGTGCTGAGGTCGGGGTCCCCATGCTGGGGACTGGTGGCCATGTGGGGACGGGTGCTGCTCGCCCTGCTTCCGTGGCTGGCTCCTCTCCAGCCTGAGCGTCCCTCCAGGAAAACAGGAAAAAACAAGAGGAAGGCAGAGAGGGAAAAACAAAAGATTATGAAATAAAACATGGGCAGGGGTGGAAGAGGGGGAACTGAGCGCGACCAACACCGGAGGAAACAGGACAACTTTCTAAAAAAGAAAGAAGAAACCTCATTAGGCAACAGGCACCAGAATAGCTCAGCACTAGGGGACACCATTGTACCATAAATTGCAGCATATGAGCAGAAAAAAGTCCAGTTTCAAGCAAACCCAACACCTCACTGCGCCAGGCTGGCACCTCGTCCCTCTTCCCAACACCAACGATTTCCACCTTGCCTCGTGACGGTAACGGGGCCTGTTTCTTGGCACGCAGTTCTCTCCCGGTCCCTATTCCTGAACAAAACCTGACCAGCATTTGCTGCCAGGGTGGCACTTTTCTGCGTGCCGCAGGGCAAAGTCACAAGCAGGGGCCAACCGCCCTTGCCTCCCACCTGGGGCTGGGCAGAGCCTGCCCGGAGCGAAGCCCAACTCCTGCCAAGCCGATGGCAAAGCTCCCGCCTCGCCAGGACAGGCTGGAGCTTCATAACGAAATAACACCTTGCAGCTCCTGCACCTATTTTTGGAAAACCTGAGTAGGAAAGGTCAATCTGGGCACTTTCCCACACAGGAACAGTGTGATACAGGACCGTACAAGGCATCGTCCTCACCAAAAGCATCACTTCCCACCAAGTGCCTTACAAGCATTTTCTATCCCTAAACACTGATTTACCGAGGTGCCAGCTGCCATTCGTGGGGTGCTCCACCTCTGGAAGACCTACGGAGAGCCCGGCTGCCGTCAGGAGTGGTTTGGCTCTGACGGGTCCCCACACCGGCAGCCCCAGACCCCGAGCCCAGGGGGGTTGGGCCACAGCAAAGGCCGGTTTGGCTGGCCCAGAGGCCAGCTCCGAGACGCCAGGGTCAGCGAGTCCCCCAGCATCTCAGCCCACCCCAGGTCCTGCCCTCAGCAACTTCTGTGCTGCTTTGACTTAAGTTTTTATTATATTATTGTAAATGATTATTACTTTATTGTAAATGAATATTACATTACTATAAAAGATTATTACATTATTATAAATGATTATTACATGAATATTACACTCCAGTGCCGTGTATAGATAAAATATACCGTAGGGAAGAAGAATCTGTACACAGAGGCTTTAAGATGTGACACAGAAAATGGTAACCGTTAAAATGTAACTTGCAACGTTTTCATTTAATTTTCAGCAATCTTTTTTTTTTTTAAATCGCCTTTCCAATGGCACAAAAGCCGCTGCCGTTTCTCTTGCCGTAACCATTGTCTGATAAGATAAAAAGGAAAAAAACCACCTCTGTATCGGCACAATAAAAATGCTTTGCAACACATCCATAGGTAGCTTTACTGTACAATATTTTAAAATTTGGGACTGTGCATATTATTTCTACATATTCTGAAACTCAGTCTTCCGCGATGCTTTCTATTTACAGTTGCACAACGCCTTTAATGCCTCGAGACACAGCTGTAACACGCAATGCTGGCCCTCAAAAAGAAGTTTCAGCCAACTCTCCACTTCCACAGGCTTTCCCACAGCTGCCCGCAGCAGGGGGAACCGCAGCGCTCCTCTGCATGAACGGTGGCCAGCCCTCTTCCAGTTTACAGGTCCTCAAAGTTTTCTAAAGGGGTTGCAGGTCTTGTTGAAAATTCACATCCATAAACTGTTGCGCAGGCGAATTTGCTTTTTTAGGTGCCTTTTGCTGACCCGGGGATATGCAGGCTGTGCTGTAAAGAGGGAACGTACGCTCTTCTGTGTATCTGTAAAGACAATTTCTCAGGCAGACCCCTGTCCCCAAGCCAAACTCCTTTTGGCCACTCTTACTCTACAGGACTGAAGTTGTTTTCTTTCTTTAAGATAACATCAAGCAGCTTTACAAATGCCATATCAAAACATACTTGCTATTCATTTATCAACCACTTTTCCAGCTGAGAGTCTCAATCCTACAGGAATTTCTATTTCTGCCTTGATGTATCAGGCATCTCGGGGCTGGGCTTTGCTCCAGGAAAAGGCAGGCAGTGCCACTTTCCCGTGTATTTCACTGGAAAAGCACAGGAATGTTTCCTTCTGTCCAAGAGTGTGAAGTGTTTCCTAAGAAACATAGCCCGATCTTGGTTTTCATCATACTCTACCCAAAATAAGATTCACTCATGACTTGTTGGAACCCATCGTCAGACTCTTGATCTCCAGGTCTGTCCCCAAGGGCCTTGGGTTGCCTCTTTTCTGCAAGGTGCGAGCAAGGTGAACGCTCTCCAACAGGATTAAACATCATATGTAGCTGTTTTCAGAAAGGACCTCTGCATTCCTTTTTTTAAAAATTACTTTTTTTTTTTTTAAAATTTGGTCAATAGTTCCAAAAGGCGGGCCTGATCCTGCACTGGACTCTGAGCACCCAGAGCTCTACTTTTCAGTAAAACCTCTTCAGTGATGACCCAGATCCTGCAGCCATCACTTACAGGACCAGCCCCACGGAAAGAAGCTTCAAACGCACACTAGGATACCGCCATTTAAAAACTGCTCCCACGGACAAGATTTTTGCTAGAAATTCAGAAAATACTGGCAGATCTGCTGCCCACAAGAGCACGTCCCGAGAGCTGCTCCTTCGGGGTGGGGGAGAGGGGCTCCAAGGCCAAGTCCCCAGATTTGCAGACCCAGGCACCAACCCTGCAAATCTTACACACGTAATCAGGTTGAAAACTGAAGTCTAAAGCAGAAAGCAGCTGGGAGCAGGGCAGGAATTATCCTGGCCTCTGCTGTGTAAATAATTTAGCTGCTGTTTGAAGGTTCAATGAAAACTCTGCCCTCTCTATTTGTCAGTAGCTCCCTGAGCGCCACAGACAGCAAATATTGTGTTTACATTTCCCACTGACTCGGAGAATTAACGCTCTTTGTAGCATTGTGAAATGAAGCAAATGCTCAAATACAGGCTTTGAAGAGTTTGTTTATGCGAGTTTATCATCAGATCAACAGTTTTCTGGTGCTGGCAGTGGTGGCTCCTCCAGGCTGTGGCTGCGCATGTCCAAGCGGTGCTCCTGGGGAAGGGGCTGGCCGTCCCCGTTGGCGGCTGTACCTCCAAGTAGCATAAATCAGGGACCACCGACGGTTATTATTACATATGTAATTGTGACGAAGGCTTGCGAGCCTCCATCACCTCTTCTGCAAGAGTTCCGAGATCTCTGTTGCCCATCTGAGACCTTAGGGGCAGGTCTAGCCCCCTTACGAAAGGGCCACGGCTGCCTTTCCGTTCTCCCTCTGGCTTTCTCCAAAGGGTTCCTCATCTTTCTCTTTTATGGAGAACTTTTTCCTGAAGGCTTGCGTTAAGCTGGAGGAAGATGCCTTCCTAAACGTGGTAAGTCTCTTCCGAAAGTTGCCCCCTGAGAAGAAGTAGAGAAGTGGGTCAAAGCAGCAGTTGGAAGCTGCCAAGGGGAGCGTTACCACGACTGATTTCTGCAGGTATATGGCGTCCTCGCAGCGGGTGTTCTTCAGCTGCAGCATGTGGAGGTGGATCGTACGCAGAATGTGGTAGGGGGTGAAGCTGACCAGGAAGGTGGCTGTCACGATGATGATCATCCAGACCGCCTTCTTGCGGTTAGCCTGGTTCTTCTTCAAGGAGTTTTTCAGCAAGGTCCTTATGATCATGGTGTAGCAGATAGTTATGACAACAAAGGGAAAAATGAAACCCACAAATAGGGCAATAAAATCCAGGATCACCACTAGTTTTGTCTTCTGATTATCTTCTGGGGGTTCGAAGCACTTCGTCTTGTTGCCATATTGGTACGTCCCATTTTTCAGAAAGGGAGCACTTGTCAGGGTGACAAAAATCCAGATGCCGATGCAGACAAATTTAGCCTTCTTCTCCGTTACCAAATTGATGTTCCGGACTGGAAAAACAATGGCTATGCACCGGAAGAAGCTCATTGCAGTCATGAAAAAAATGCTGCAGTACAGGTTGACGTACAGGGCGTATGAACTGATCCTGCAGAGGAAGTCGCTGAAGAACCAGTTCCCTTTGTGGACGTAGTAGATGACACGCAGGGGCAGGGTGCACACGCAGAGGAAGTCGGAGACGGCGAGGTTCAGCATGTACACCTGGAAGGCTGTCTTCTGCCGGTATGTTTTTATGAGGACGTACAGCACAACGCCGTTGCCAACAAAGCCCATAATGCTGATCATGGAGTAGAGCGTGGAGTAGACTCGGTTTCGGAAGTCGTCGATGGAGTGATGGCACGACAGGTTATCATACAGTGCCGTCATCTTGCCTGAGGGCGGGGGGAGAGGCACCGATTCTGCCTGGCGATGTATGTCAGGCCTAAGGATGAAAATCTCAGGTGAGTTATGTAAAGCAGCACATGAAAATAAAGCACGATTATTAAAAAGGAGGGAAAACCTTTCATACAGGAGAGAAGAGCTAGGAAGGGTCTGCGCAGATCCGTGGTACGGTAACTACCCGCTACATCCACCTTTCTTGACTGGGTACCAACAGCTGGTGATGTAAAGATGAGAGTCGCGTTTTCCTACGTCATCAGCACTGGCGGCGTCCTTCTTCCACCAAATTAACCAGAAAGCTCTACCTCCCTGCAAGCCAAGGTCGCTACTCATGAAAGCAGCAGAGAGGAATGATGCAGGCGGCAATAGCACTACGCAATTTAAGATAGAAAGGCCAGAGCCAGTCCCTAACGACTGTTCAGTCCCACCTCTCCACATCGCCTGGCAAGTGGCCATGTCCCTGTGCTCCACCTCCTGCCCCAGGACAGGTTGCTGCAAGAAGGTTTCTGAAACCGCAAAGGATGTGGTCACGCAAGCCTTTCTCTATTTAAAAAAAAAAAAAAAAAAATCAATTAAAAACCCACCCCAGAACCTTTGCACCGAAGGTGGGAGAGGATTCCAAGCTGGAGGCTGCTCCATGCACGACCGGGTGTTTGTCAGCTCCCCAAATTCTGCATTGCTCTCCTCTGTGCTGCTCACAGGTAGCACCATTTTTTAAGCTTGCTATGCTACGAAATATGTGTAATTACCAGCTTTTGGAAGACATCTGGCCTATTATATCAGGAAGGATGACTGCAGCACAGGGGATGCTGCTGGGCTCCGCTCTCCCGGGCACTGCCGGGGCAGAGGCGCTGCCGCAACGCCCGGCAGACGGAGCGGGAAGCTGCAGGGAGGCTCACATCACGGAGGACAAACCTCTTGGTCTGGAGACACCTGCGCTATGGGGGTAACTCCCTGGCAAAGGGGTTCTCCTTGGGCTTGCTTTTGCACGTTGCTTTGATTTACATTAGCAGGTCGGGGGCTCTCCAGAGCGGTCGGACTCTAACGGCCCGGCGGGGGCTTTTGGATCCGCTCAGTCAGCCTTTCGCAAAATTTTATTGTTTCCTTTTGGTATTCATTTGAGCGCAGCGAGGCATGAGACTCTTAATTTGGGTTGCCCTAAGTCAATTAAGAGGAAAATACACATGTATTTCTCTCATTCATTTTCAACTTCTGGTGGTTCAGACCCAGAATCTCACTTGCAGTCTGAGACCACGTAAATCCCCGACGATCAGAACTGCAGGAAACATGCAGGACTTGAACAAAAACAGTGACAAAAGCAAGAGCTGAGACGAGAGCACCCGAGAACCCCCACTATGCATGTGCTCAAAACTGATGTTAAATGGTACATCTTTTCACCCATGAAAATAGGCTGGCAGCATTACAGTAGAAGGATTCCCCCAGCCTCTCCGGGATATACCGGGACTTCAGAACCGCACTGGGATGCTCAAGGCTTCCCAGTTTCAGGCAACTTTCAGCTATTTGGGAGTTGATGCTCTTAAAAGGATCCTTTCATTATCTGCCACGCACAAATTACAGGAAAGCGCAACAGATACCAGCGAGGCGGCACAGATGGGGGGGAAGCAAGACACAAGAGAGGATGTTTTTTCCTCTTGGGCTATTTGTGGACACGTAGGGGTGTGTGAGCGAGCGAGCGACCGACAGCACAACTGCACAGAGGTCTTCGGCCAGAAGAGGCAGCCAAGCCTCAACACGGCTCCACCGGCTCCACCACAAGCTGTAGATCAGTACAGACCTCGTACATCAGCACTTACAGTTCACCTTAGCCTGCATACATGAAGCTTATCCAGCCATGCCCATTGCAAATAACCCATTAATCAGAGAGAGGCGGCGCGTTTGCAGCCACATCTTCTCCCTGCCCCGCCAGTGCCGCCTCTCGGCAGCACGGTTCTGCAGGCTGGCAGAATCCAGACCTCAGCCCCAGCTTGGACCAGTTTGGGTTCCTCGCGATGGAAAGCCCAGAGCGGGTCTGAAGACCAGCCACTGCCCCCGCCAGCCTCTCGTGGCTCCAGCCACCCGTCCTCTGCCAGGACCAGCCAGTGACACGGAGCTGCTGCCCCAGCGGTATGGAGCAGAGGAGATGCAGGAGGTCCCCAAGGAGATGCTGAGAGATCCGGGCTTCAGCCTGCACCGCTGGCATCCTCGCTTGCCTGAGGTCTTCACTTCAGACTTGAGGTTCAAGTTATGAAAAGAGCAGCACTCCCATAATGTTTAAAAATCTCCAAGATAGGGCTAAAATTAAGTTTGTGGCAACATTGGTCTGATTTTAACCAATTGCTTGGGAGTGGCAGATAGTGCAATATTCTCTGCATGATCCCCGTTCCTTGTTTTTATCTGTCAAGATAATCTGACGCGGGTGACGAAGCTCTCAATACCGTTACTCTTACGCCGGGTTAATGCCTAGCAAGCAGACCCACCGAGCAAAACCCCGCCATGCCCTGCCACTGTAACAACACATTGAGATTAGTGGCTCAATTATGTCACGAAAACATATAGATAAAAATCTGTACTTACCAAGGTATCATATATCAGTTCGTTCTCAGACATTTAAAAACCCCCACGACTGAGATGTTTGAGATTAAGAGGCTGGAATGATCTCTTCTGCACGCTGAGGCTTTTCTCATCTGCCAGCACCTCCAGGTTCTTACGACCGGTACGAGGGAGGAGCAGCGAACGGGGCAACCCAGGCTGCGAGGCCAACCCAGTGGATAAACAGAGAGGTTTTCCCAAAAAGCACGACCGTGACGCAACGCTCGGAGGAGGGAAGAGACTGCAGATGGAGAAACGCATGGGGGGAGCCGGGCAGAACCTGCGTCTCCCAGCGCCACGTTTCGGGTCAGGTTCCCCCGTGCCTTTTGCGAGGGTGTTGGTGCCGTGCGGCCGCGGAGGGCACCGCTGCCTTCCTGCCGCTGCCGATTTCTCTTCCCTTCTGCCAGTTTAGCTATCCTGCCTAAGCGATAGCCAAGAGAGATTGGTAAACGCCTCAGCCCATCATCTGTGCATTAGATAAACGTCTTCATTTAATCTCTATGCCTCTTTGTGCACGCTGCTTAAGTGGGATTGGGCTGGCTTATAAACTTTCTACGTCCTTTGGAGACTGAATTCCGGCCTTTCAGCTGCTGTTCTTAAAGGCATTGGCAGACAGCGAACAACCACGCGAGGTGGCTGTCTAAAAGACAACTGAGACCTGTTATCTACCGTGTTTCTGAATGCAATTTAAAACACCTTTTGTAAGCAAAAGGAAAACCGATGATCACAAGACTGAAGCGCAGTGCTGAAGTGTAAGAGAGCTCCGTGCCTAGAAATGGACCTGTAAAAACCAAAAAAAAACCCCACAAACCCCCACTTCCTAGCCGAGGCTTTAGACCAGGTTTGCATTACGAATCGAGGACAAACATCAGTTCTGCCACTTTTTATCTGTACAGCCGCCATTCACAGAACCGTTCGTTTACGTTCTGGCGAACTCGGCTCCTCAGGAATGTACACAAGCGAGAGGCAGCAGCCACGGCCGGCTGAGAAAAGCATCCCAAAGCAAGCAACCCCCCTCAACAACTCTTACCCTCCAAGTTGCACGCAGCACAGCCAGCTTTATAGCTGGTCCTAAGCGGACGATGCTAGACTGAATTACACAATCAAAGAGCACGCCACCAAGGACGACACTACCGTCGGCTTCAAGCTGGGGGGTCCGGCATCGCCCGCCCCGGGGAGCGCTGCCGGGGTTGGATTTGATGTTGGGTGGAAGAGGCACGGGCGCGCTCCGGCGGCTCCCTCCTGCCCGGGGAACGGGGTTTGGCCTCGGGAAGAGGAACGGGACCGATCACCCAAGCACGCAGCAGGCGCTAATTAATCCCCCGGCGCTCCCGGTGGGACCGGACGGCGCGGCCGAGCTCC